TTTCTTGTTTTCCTTCCCAGGTTGAAATCCCGGATGATTTGTCTTCTTCCACACTAGACGAGCTTTCTAGCTGACTTACAAACGTTTCTCTATCAAGGGTTTCCTCACTAAGCCCAGTTTGCAAATCTTTGTTTACACTTGCCATTTATTCGCCCGGAAATAAAGCGAAATATTATAATTTGTAAACGTAACACAGCTTAGATGTTTGAAGCGTACTCCGGTATGCACTAACTCAAACATGCATGTGCAAACAACAAAGTCGATAAGTACAGAACCAAGATCTAGCCTTATTTGGCTATTGCTTTGAAAAATTATATCATAAATGAAGTAAAAATAAGTTTGTTGACATTCAATGGCGTAACATGATTGGACAGTTGATGTCACGTGCCATCATGTCAGTCACGTGCGCAATGATTCAGAACTACTGTCAGTAGCAGGTAAATACCCGATATGGTTTTCTAGGTTGTTGTTGACATACAAAAGTTAGATTTTAAAAGCGTAAGCAAAAACTATTGTTCAGTTATTATAGGTAGATTTTATCTGTCGCATTGCCACTTGTCAATTCAAATTTTGAATAATCAATAATGATAATAATTATTATTACTATTGTTGTTATTATTATTATTATTGTTTCTTTCTATATTTATATCCCTATTTGTCTTCTTATTTTATTCAATTAAAAAGTCATTATTATTATTATTATTATTATTTTGGATTTTTTCCTATTTTCTCAAAACTTTTAGACATCCCTTTACACCCGGTACAGGGTCAAAACCCATATGGGGTGCTTGTTATATCAGTTGGTGATTTTTGTAACTGGATTTAAACCGTTCCTCATTCTAGTGCATGTAGATGCTTGTCTTCAAAACATGCATCATGCACATTTTAAACTTATAAAACATTGCATTTAAACCGCTTTGTGGCTTCGGAACAAGAACACAAATGTGTATACGTACTATGAACTAACATTTAAAAAACATAAATTTGAAAATAAACTTACTTTTTACAGAAGTTATTAAATGGTTTTCTGCATCCTCATCCAAAACAGTGTCATATTTCAGTCACATGAACGGGACGACCCCAAAAAGATTTCCATTTCTTTCAATGTTCAGCCTTGCATTGCAAATGATTGTAAATGACTTGTTTGTTGTATTATTTCGACTTTTGAAGATTCGTTTGTTTGCGTTTGAAAACTTTTGAAAAATGTGTGATTAAAAACGCCAATAGTGATTTATTTAAAGTGCTTATAAGCCTTTGCAACTTTTTATATTGAAAGCTGGACATTTTTTGAAAACAAATTTGTAAGAACCTTTACGTGAGTCACGAGTAAAAGGGTGATGCTTTCAAAATACTGTATTCCAGAACGAGTGCAGTTGTATAGTAAATGATCCCTTATGTTACGTCATAGTCATTGACATATTGGGAATATGAACCTTCGTATCTTAAAGACCCGACATTCAAATGACGAAATATTTTCACAATTAACCATACACTATTTAAAGAATCAATTCTGAAAATATTGTGTAAAGGCTTATAAGCACTTTAAACCGTGCGAGAAAACTACCACTATTTACTTAGTAATTGTTTATAAAATACAAACGAAAACAATGCGTTTACGGTCTAATACTAACTATTATACGTACTATGTCACGGATTAAATAAAATCACTCTAACATGTATAAATAAATCAAACCCTGTGTTAAATTAAATGTAAGATTCAGGTAACTTGACGCGTATAATTTTGATGAATTCTGATGAAGTCTATCACTAGTTATAGTCGAAACGTCATGTTTTTTTAAAATTATAAAAATTCTACGCGTTTTATCTGTAACGTTGTCTTACATTTAATTTATCATGTCTGAACGCGAAAGCGTCAAGATACGAAAACCCTGTGTTACTAAAATTAACAGTAGATATATATGGAAGGTGGCGAAGTCAATGCCGGCGTAGTCGATAAAAAAACGTTCAGTTTTAAATTTGCTTATAAGCACATTCTTAATAGCGCAGCGAGCTGATTCTAAAAATAGCTTAAAGATTCGGACAAACATTGCATTTTGTTTAACCGCTACGAGGATTAACCGAACCGATTTTATTATTTTTACATAAAGTTACAATAATAACCCATGTAAAGTAAGATCAACTGCGATCGGCTGTGAAAATTATTTGCTGAAAGTAAACTTGTAAGTTTGTTTGTCCGAATTTCGCCTTTGTCTTCGTATTGATGACGTCACGGCTGCTCTGCTCTATTGGATAGGAAAAAACAACAATGACAACGCAAAATTGGGGAAAACATTGTCTGCTGATAGCTTTAGTAAGTGCAATATCGTTATAACTAAGTCATTGCGATGCATGACCAGATCGTACTTTGCATCACTATATATTCACGTGATCGTGAGTTCAAGGAAACATCCATGGAATTTCACGAGGATGCCAACGTGGTTAGCAGTTAACTGACAGTATGGCAAAAAAAGAAAAGAAAAGGAAAAAGAAAAGAAAAGTTAACTGACAAATGATCTAAAACTAGTAGTTAACAGTTAGCTGATATTTCATTATTTTGGTTAACATTATGGCTAGCGCTCGTAAAATTATTACAGTTAACTGACATTCGGCCGAAAAATTAGTAGTTAACAGAAAATTGGGGATCCCCATTGGAACCCGCTTTCAAGGTTTGTATGGCTGAAGTTGTGAATTCTTTACTTTACTGCTGGCGTTTATAAATATGTAGACACTGGAACGAGTTTATTCCTGAGTAAATGAGTCCGTAAACAACGAACTCAGCAGTATTTATACAGTCAATGTCAATAACGTTGTCCACCGAAAAAAGACATTTACACATTTACACATTTAGTCATTTAGACATCTAGACTAAAAGGAATATCACGTGTTTCCTCGAACGTTCTGGCATAAAACAAACGCTGAAATACCATTCTCCATCTTTAATCCTCACTAAATGGTCGGGGCATTCTGGATTTTCGATTCACGAGTTGAATTTTACATTTAAAGCTCAGGCTGACGGACAAGAGGCAAAGAATACATAATGAAACACGCGGTATTTCTTTTAGTCTAAATGTGTAAACGGGTAAACGTGTAAACGTGTAAATGTGTGAATGTGTAAATGTCTTTTTTCGGTGGACAACGTTAATGACATTGACTGTATGTACTTCCCTTTCGTGGTATTGTAGTCTTCGTAATGCTGACTTTGTCTTTATATGTCAACAAATTCAAACTATGCAAAATAAATCAGTCCATGCCATTTATCAAAAGAATGTGCATTTATTTATGATATGTTCAAGTTTATATGCAACATTCAAAACACTTGTCCTATTCTTTACAAACACTGATTTTATAATTAAAGATTATTTATATATACACATTTTTTCTACAAAATTTTCATAAAACTAAAACTATAAAACTAAAGCTATTCACTTTACATCTACTTTTTCAAAAAGATACACAAATTGCTTGTATGATCGATTAATTTGGAAACCCAATCTTCAATATTTCCCCGGCCCCTTTAAATATTCTTTAATCCAAGATTTTCCCCAACCTCTTTCTGTATATTTCCATCCCCAATTCCTCCGACAATTCATTTTTTATATTACTTTCCCCAAAAGAAAGAATACCAGAACGAGTCCCGCTCGTCGCGCTTTAAACACAGATAGCCCAACTATATTATCTAACAGTGGTCACGTGATTCCACTTAGAAACGTATAATTTTTCTTCAAAAAACGAAAGATAGATCTGTAAAGACGGTAGAAAGTAAAAAATAACTATATATTTCATTGCAATGYTAAAATAGTAATATAATAATGAGTATAGAAACTTTTTAATATTGTGAATATATCTTTAGCACGAGTGAAAAACGCATGCGCATGCTCCAAGAATGTGTGRAAAGTAATCTRAGATGTCATCGTGTTGTTTTTGTAAAAATGTGTAAATTTGACTTTCAAACTGGGCTGACAAATTGACTCCACAAAATAAGTACTAAAACTTCATATATACTGTCTTTATCAATACAGTATCTTGGTCTGACCAATGTATACTATGAAGAATACGAACCYTTTTTTTCGCTAGCTAAAACGATCTTGAAATCTATAGGCGGAAATGCTGGAATACACGCATGCGCAAACGTTTTTCGTGACATTTTTCTGTCCCACGGAGTACTAGTGGTGTCAGTAGTCACGACAAGAAATCTACAACAGAGATGTGACACGAATACAGTTTCACAGCAAGTTTTTGACTAGCATTATTCTACAATTTTATCAATATAAATATTTTCTTGATTCTAGTTGGGCTACCTGTGGTAAGTTTTGACTGATTTTCCCGACACTCCCGAAATAATCCATTTACTAGCTTTCATCTCTTGGCAAAATATTTGTTTCTTTCAATATTACAGTTTAAACTCTTTTGTTAATATATACATCATGCTTTTCATCATCGAAAGAAATATCCAATTCTTTACTCGAAGCATCTCTCCAGTTTTATTCCAGAAATGTTTGTAACGTCATCATTTGAGGGTCGGACATCACAATTTATATTACTTCATTGCTTGAGGTATGTGTGACGGAGTAGCCGCCATGTTGGATGACTTTATCAAAACCATTGGCATTGGTATCATATGTTCATTATGTCAACCAACATTACGCGACGTGTAGCTTAATCTTCAGGGCCTGGTTGTACGACGGGTGAATAGCGCTATCCTACGGATAAATCTTATCCAGTGGATAAATTTATTGGATAACAGCAACGACTTATCCACTGGATAAGGATTTATCCGTCGATTATCACTATCCACCATTCATACAAACTGGTCCAGTACTGCTTTCGTGTGTCGCCATGGAGACCAGTTAGCGCTAGACACGTGACCATGCAGGCTCGCTGCGTTCCCCAGTCGACAGCACATCCAAAATCTATAGTACCTCTTACATATATATATATWTTTTTTCCCATACGAAACTAAGCTACAGCAAATTCTATTATTGCCTTGTATATGTGGTTGTTGTGACCAGAGGTGCCTCGAACGTTGTGCGCATGTGCCATATTATTTGTATACACCTATTTCAAAAAACGTTGTCGGTTGGATATCTGAACTCAGAAATCTGAGACCGATTAGAAGTGTGGAGGACTGAGTGTTTTCTCGTTAAAAATTCAATATACACTTACCCAGACAGTTTGCCAGAGCAGGTCATCGCTCAAAGTTGATATATCAAGATATTAACTTTTTGCGAACTACTTATCAAAACCACAAACAATTTACAGCTTACAACCCACAATTCCTTTCGGACTCAGATTTCAGATCTCAGACCGACAAGGTTTTTTGAAATAGGTGTGTATGTTTCTTTAAAATTGTGTTTGTATAACAAACACTCACACTTTTATATTAGTATTTACAAAATTATAAATTCTAAAGGTCCTAATTTGAAATAAATTCCAACTTTCCTTTCTTAGCTATTGGATAGATAAAAACTCTAGTCATTTTAGAAATAGCTTCAAAATTTCTAAAACATTTTTTTCTGTAGTCATACTAGAAATTGTAATCATTTTCCTTTCACAGACTACGTGTCATTCCCTAGAGTATCATTCCTTAGTTTAACGGTAGCACATGAGAAGACACATGAATATGGATACAACTCAAACAAAGAATCTTACTCTCAAGAGAATGAAACTTGGCCTGTGTAATGAAAAAACAGTACGTGATCGTCTACYATCATCATAGTTGCTGACCTAACGACCATGAGTTACTTTAAAGACCAGACCTTATATCATCTCTTCATAGATCTCTTTCGTCCAACCTTATCGATTCTAAAACCGAGTTGACCACACCTCCTCCTCAACCTAATGAAATAAAATATTAAGTTATAATTATCACGAATTAGTAGCAGGAGCCAGGAACCGGAGGCAGGAGCAGGAGGCAGGAGGCAGGAGGCAGGAGCAGGGAACAATTATTTACCTCCAAGGGGTCTTTCTTTGGCTTGATTTGTTTTTCTAGTTCTCTCTGTTCTCTTTCTGATTTGGGCATTGTATTAAGCCTCTGCATTGGATAAGAATGGCCTTACAATTAGAACACGAAAAAGCAAAAAAGTTATCAGATTCAAATGTATMGTTACTGAATGTCACTGAACTTACTGTAGTTTTCGAGTCTTCAGGTCCACTAACTCTTGAACTTGGGGTTGGTGCTGAAGGCAAGTGCTTTCTCTAAAACAGGTAAAAAAAACTGACATAAAGATAAAGAAGAAGAAAGAAGAAAAAGAAGAAGAAGAAGAAGAAGAAGAAGAAGAAGAAGAAGAANAAGAAGAAGAAGAAGAAGAAGAAGAAGAAGAAGAAGAAGAAGAAGAAGAAGAAGAAGAAGAAGAAGAAGATGAAAAAGAAGAAGAAAAAGAGACGTACTGCTGTAAATAATACGTATTGGATTTTTGTGTTAACTCCTTTCTTGTGCAGTTGCAAGAATTGACGAATTAAGTAGTTTTCATTGCTCACGTCTCTATTGTGCACTAAATATCCACTGAAAACGATTGCATTTAACCTCTCCCCAATCCAAAACTCATTATTAGCTTATTTGAATATTCCGGAGCATGGATAATAGTGTTTTCATTGGAACCTACTATATTACTTAACTTACCTGTCTCGCTTGATGAGTCAAGTCTTTCAAACTTCCCAAAGAAATCTTCTCTTCGATCACATTTCGGAGCGAGAGGCAGCGCGCAAGAAGTTTGTTTAAACGGAGTGCTTCTTCGTCACTGAAGATGTGAAAAAAAAAATCTAGTATTATAATAACTCTTTATCTTCATAAGTCAAGCATACAATATAATAAGTCAAGCATGCAATATCGAGTAGGAACGAGTTTGATATGAATTGCGGTTCTGATGTGATGTTTATTGTGTTTTGCTGTGATGTTTTTTATTACGCGCCTCATGCGAATTTCATACATTAAGCTTATTATAAAAATTCTCATAATACATTTAATAAACAAATTATAATATGGAAATAAAAGCTCCAGTTGTACGGTGGGATTATTATTCTAATATTCTAATCTATGCAATTCTAAAAGTGTGAGTTAGTACCCCCCCCCCTCCCCCTCCCCACAAATACAGTTAGCTTTATATTAATAGCTTTTGATCATTTAAATATTCATTGGGTATATTTGGTCGTATAATGAATTTGAAGTGAATTCGTTTTAAAAGGGAACGAACTCGGTAAACGATAAAAGGAGCAAAATACCTGATGATCATTTTTAGTAACGTCTTCACCCGTTCCTCTAAATCTTTAGCAACAGCGGACAGTGAGATAGAGACGTCGTATATCTGACTCTTTGGCACGAAAGGTTCCTCCAATTGACAGAGGGCATCGGCTTGTCGAACTAATCTGTGGGCAAGATTATGCATTTTATCTAGTAGCTTCTCATCTTCATCCAACTGCAAACCAACTTTTATTTGGTCTTCTTGTCTTTCTTGCCTCTCAAGAGTGTGTTGGATCTCTTTGAGATCTTTCTCAAGCGTTCTTAGTAGTTCTTGGACATCTTCCAGCTCTTCCTTTCGTTTTGGATCACCAAAGTCACTTACGGTACTTCCTTGCTTTGATACTGCGTTTTTCCACTATTTAAAAATGCAAAAATATATCGTATTACAAAATATATTTTTACTCGATAAACTACCAGGTTTAGTTCGTATAGAACAGACAGCAGAGACACCTTCGTGATTTGTCAAACGCATTTAGTGCAAATTAGAAAACGCGCACGTGGTTTATACAAAATAGTTGAGCATGCGCATTTTGTGTCATTTCATTTCCTTGAGCATGCGCAGTAAGAATGCTATGGCTCTGGTGTCGATGCTGATCTCAAATATGATACAATAGCTTAAATATACCTTTAAATATTGTTGAAGTTTAGGTCCTTCAAGCTTTTCTAAGCGAAAAAGGCTACCGTCTTGGTCTTCACAGATCGAGATCGTCTATAAATAAATTACACAAGCATCTTAGAAGACACTCCGCCTGGTATTGACTTTTGGAATTTTGTAAAGTCCATTTGTCAGGTGGAATTGAAACAAACATTTTGCATAATTTTGACAATTGCTGGGGTTTCAAATGACGTCATTTCTTGTCTTGGGCGCCAAAACCGCCAAAAACCGCTGAATAGTATTTTTTTAAAGTTTATTGAAGAACCATACGGGTTTTGAACTTCAAGAGGGACAAACCATCAAATTGTGGGAATGTTTGTTCGGCTTTATGACTTTTGAGAGCACTGGAAATACGAAATATGACAAATCAATGATCTTAGGAATATGATCTTAGGAGTTTTAATTTTTTTTCCTGATCGATCACTTCCGGTGGAGAAGTTTTGCTCTTCGAAAAACCTCGCTCGTAGGTATCCATTAAATGCTGATTATCTCGAAAACAAGCTTGGGACACCCATTTTTCATACTTAGAATCAGTATTAATGAATTTCTCTTTAAAAAATCGTAGTTTTAAAACTAAGTTTAATTTGTTTTCCAAAAGTAACCTTAAATATTTTTATCACCTGATTGAAGTTGAAGAAATAGAAAGCGCGCGCGCGTGTTGTGTAAAGTTATAAAGCACGCGGAGGAGCACGACGCGTAGCGGAGCTTTGTCCTGACTTTGATCAAGCCCAGAGGTTGTTAAAATGTTCGATCAGCGAGTAATCCGTGCCCTGAATTAGATAACATTAGAGGTGGTCGTTTTATGAGGGTAGTTTTAGCATTGTGGACTTACCTTCTTCTCAAATGAGTCGCAATGAAGGTAAGACTCTTCCTTCAAAAGAATAAAAGTCTTCCGGTGCTTTTTCTTCCCGAGAAAGTCTGCATTGCCTAATTCCAAGTGGTAAAACCGCACAATCAGTAAGCTATATATAGATGGATGGATGGATGGATGGATGGATGGATGGATGGATGGATGGATGGATGGATGGATGGATGGATGGATGGATGGATGGATGGATGATATTAAACAAAAGCACGACTTGGCCTACATACCAATAATTTTTTCAGCAATGTCCAATCTTCCAGCTCTATGTAGTGCAAAAGCCAAATCGCCCTTTGTTGCACCTCTGCCTTTCTTTTGCATGAACTTGGTCAGCACAGCTAAGGCTTTTTCCCGGTTGCTGTTTCTTCCATTCTTCTCATCTTCTATCTCTCTGATTTCAGCTTGGGTTAACTTCAGTTCCATTGCCAATTCTTTATAGTGTTGGCTAATATCTTTAGACAAATTGCAGGCGTCTTCCTCTGTTAGGGGTTCATCGGCCAACGATGCTCGCCTGCCCTCAGCTGGATTAAAAAAGTTTAGATTTACCTTTGTGTTAAAAGCAAAACATATTGGTGTTTTTAGTAGCATATGGCATGGAGTTTTCTCAGTGGCACTACTGTGTAGTTCAAGCCTGGGTTAGCGGGTTCGATGCTTGACTGAAGCACACCGTATTCGTGGTGTGACAATGTTTTCCCACAATTGAACGTCGGGATAACATAGTTATTCTTTTCGTATCCTTTGGGATACTCATGATCATTTGAAGAGTAAAAACAAAACAAAATGAGCTTTCTGGAGGTTTGTCACGCTGAATAGCCCCTATGGCATTATGACGTCACTGCTTGTTTATGTGGGGGATAGAATCGCCAAATCTAAAATGGCCTGGTTTTCAGATATAATATGTGTTAATATGTACTAAAAAATATTCTGAGCATTTACTGGCTATTCTACTTCTCTTCGTGGATTGATACGGGTTTTAGAACAATTGTCGGTGAATTTGCGTTGATTTGACCCCCTCCGACGACCATGATCCTTTGCGTTTAAACAATAGATTGTTTTGATGTGACGTATTAGTGAAATAGGGCAATAAGCCTTTTCATAGTTTAAGAATCGACTCCACTGCGCATGCGATTTTATCCCGAATTTCTCATCTTCTTTTGTCTAAACCTTCTTTTGTTCTTAATTAAACAAAAGAAGGTGAGAAATTCGGGATAAAATCGCATGCGCAGTGGAATCGATTCTTAAACTATGAAAAGGCTTATTGGGAAAACATTGTTACACCGCGAATAAGGTCTATGTGTTTTTCTTTTCCTTGTCACGAGGGCCTATTCACATTTCCGACTCCACTTAGTTACCGTTGCTATGTCTCACAAGCTCAACAATTTTTCTCAGGATTTAATAAACTCTGATCGCGGCGGAAAATGAATCATAAATTGCTTCATGTCTTGAGAAAAGAAAAGAAACTGAATTCCTCGTAATCCTCGTAGTACACTTTTTTAAACAAATACTGTATAGTTGTTTGTGGGACAATATTCTAATTCCACTGAGAAAACAGCTGCAGCAACGGAACGATGTGTGTTTCGCTCATAAATTGTCTGCGAGTCGGAACTATTAATTCTCCTGGTTCCCCGATTTTTTTTCCACATCGTGTCGTAAAAATCAACATGAGTGAGGGCTGTACGTATAATAGAAAATTTAATGTAGTGGAAGTATGTGTGGCAAATAATAGACGCAATAGACCCCTTGCATGCGACGTCAAAGGAGCTCAATTTGGAGGACAAAACAAAATAATTTCAATTCCGATCCCTGAGTGGTTTGCCCTCGAACTTGAGTTGCATTCCAATGTGCTGCAAGGAACTATAGACTGTTAAACTGTTACTTTTGGTTACAGCGACTTTTAGTCCGTTACAGTCAAATATCTTATTCCATCATCGATCAGGTTACTCATAAGAGGTTTAGGTTACTGATTGTGTTCGAGCACATAAGTGAAAATTTATAAGACTACAAGGTTAAAACCATATATAATTCAAAAAATAATACAGTTTTTGGCTTTGGGAAGCTCGGGTAACCTTTGTCAACATATAAATCGTGGCGTCTTAATAATGTGACAAAATAATGTTATTATGTAAAATAGTTCTCTGCATTAATGATGAAAAAATGTGAAGGTTAACAATTAAAAGTGCTAAGAAATAAATTCAGAAACAATAGAATCAAGAAACCTGAAAGTTYTCAGTAAAACTTATACAAAGGAAAGTAAAGAACCTTCTTAAATTCTAAAAATAATGTCCCTCCCCCCCCCGCCAGGGAATCAATTATATATATTCGGGATGCGTCACCGAAAGACATCACGCGTAGCACTGAAATCGTTATTACATTGTACTGCATGATATTTAGCTTGATAAAATGTGTCTACATTTGTAATAAATTTAAGAAAGTATTAAATATGTAAAGACTAGCTTAACATGCAAATAAATCAAGTAATTAATTGATGTATTGCTTTCCTAACCGGTTACTTCCGCATGATTGATATGCATTGTATCCACTAATGCAATTTTAAATTGTTTTGAAATCATCATTGTGCTAAATAGACGTACACTCCTCTCGCAATTTAATAAGATATAAAAGAGAGGAGTAATACGTAAGGTAAAAAATCTATGACCTGCGTAATACCTTCTTTGTTTTGGCACTTCATATTTGGTCGTCGTACAGACTGGTCGTCGTACGAGCTGCAATAATCTGAAGTAGCACTTAAGCTTCCTGATGAACAGCAACGGTTTAGAAACAGTTTTTCATCTTGATATTCGAATTCCCGTTGAGAAATTTGGAAACTCTCGTCGAGAGGAGGTCCTGAGACTTGTTTTGCCATTTTAAACCACTATTGAGCACGGAAATTAAAGCGTGAAGCCCACTTAGAGAAGTGCGAGAATTACAGTTTAGATCTCGGATATCAGTTCTTAAAACTTTCACGTGAACAAAGTCGATAGGCAGGCAGCTAGTTAAGCTATGCCATTCTCAGAAGACCAGTTTTAAAACTTCGATTGACGACATTCAAATAGCTGTGACATCGGGAGAAGAAATATCTGAACACCACTGAAAATTGTCGGGTTATTTGGCACAGTGATGTCATTTTGAGTCTATTCATGTGACACGCGGGAATTTCCCTGAGCTCACTGCAGAATCCCATCGCTGTTACTGACAAGCTTTGTTTTTGATAATTTAATTGTCGGCCTTCTTTCTGTTTTGATTCCTCTTTTTCCCACAGTTTAATAATCTTAATCAAAATTAAGCAGAAATTAGTAATCCAGCTTTGCTGCCGCTACAAAGTCTTTGCAATTGAATACAGAATTGTATTTCAATTAAGCTAAATCGTGAGACTTTTAGCGAAATATGAAAACGTGCAACCACATGAAAACGACAGAATATTAAGTGTTTGTGTTGAGTCGGAATGACATATAAGTTACAAAAAGTTTGATTTTTGTTAGTAGCTAAAAACACAATTTCGCTTCCCTAGCATTGCATAGAATCCTATAGGCATTGAGGAACCACATTCTAAAGAGCTAAGGTTTGGTTTCAACTTTCCTCTCCGTATATGATTCCATCCCTGATTAGATTGCATGTCTATGCAAATCCCTTGACAAGGACTGGCATCTTGCAGAACTTTTGCTTATACAATAGGCATATCATCGAGTACTGTAGCTAATATATGTATTTATATATCGGTAGTACAGCAATTTAATTGCATATATGACATATAACTTTTCGTAGCTCGCCCCTACGATAATCATATGATCTTGACCTGTTGAGTCTGAATCTGCCACATCAAAAATATTTTTTTTGTCACAATTCCGTTCACTCTGTAGAGGAATTTGCAGCGTGATTCATAACAATATCTAGACATTAAGTTACTAATACTTTTGATATAGATAATACTTAATTTAATATGAAAAATATCAATTAATAATATTTTTATTGTTTATCTCGCACAGTCTCGTTCAGTCGCGTCTGGAATGAACTTCCTTATTTCCGTGTCACGCAAGATATTTTCTGTCTCGGAATCTTTGTGCCGCAGGCCGTCTGAATTCTATATATAAACTGAGAACCACATAACTATTTAAAGCTATTGTAAAAATTCAAATATTCGAGGTTGGATTGTTATTTTTTATCAGGAAAGAAAAAAAGACTCTTGTTGTGAAAATGTAAACAACAATCCGGTAAAACCAAAAATAAACACAGTACCTTCGCGATTGCTCGTTCCTCCAAAGATGAATTCCGTCTCTCCGTTTAAAATGCTCTGGTAGCCCTCTGAAGAAGTTGAAGAAATGCTGTTCCTGGAACCTCTTTGCTTCATGTTTTGTGGCTGTGAAGAGCGGGGAGAGTCGACGTTTTGTGGCTCTCCTTGAAAATCAGCTCGGCCCATCGATAGCATCGGTGTTGTCATTACTGATCAATACAGAAATAATAACAATTTGTAGACGGGTAAATGCTGAAAACGTTTACCACTTGTCAAGCGATTCGCTAAAGCCGGAAAATGGGTTCAGCAAATCCAATATTCAGGATTTGAAAGATTGAAAAAATTGCAAGACGGYCGTTCACGACTAGAGAGCGCAGCGCACCCGAGGTTCTGGCCAGACGAGAATATCAATGAATTATAATATATTATGTACTTATGTAAAATGATATCTAGCTGCTGTACTTTGATTGGGTGAGCTAGCTCAGAAAAGGGGGAAATGTGAGGACGTACCATTAGATAACGGAGAGTGGGCAGTGGGCTGCGTCAATCCCCCAAAAAATATCAAGCAAGCACTTCAACTACGAAAAAAAAAAAAAAAAAAGCTCATCCTGTATTTCAGAAAATTAATATCGAACAAACACACAAACTATTCGTGCTGAATTTGTTACGAAAATAATCGTGCAACATAAATTTTTGCCCCCCTCTCGCTTCTCCCCTCTTCCCTCCCCTTAGGAGCTTAATTTAACATCATTGGTTTACGAGGAATCTGAAATAAACGACTGACGCAGCGGGGAGAAATCCCTTGATGACATAAGCAAGAGTATTTTATTTGATGGAACCAGTCTTCGGATAACGGAAAATATTTATGACTTTTTAACTGTACGTATTCTTAGACATCAGCTTCATAATTATTTAGCTTAACAACGCCATATATCAAATATCACATATTTATTTATTGATACGATAATTACACAAAATGACAATGACAATATGATAATGACACAGAAGTATTATAGATGAGTACACACTGGTAAACGAAAATCTATGAATCAGTATTGTAACATTGCCGATTAAAGGAGTCCGCAGGAAATTAGCTGAGATCAGCTGACTAGAGACTACTTTGCTTGAATAGTCACGCAAGTGATAAACCTTTTTTGCTTCCATCAGTCAAATACTAGGGGAAACCCCCTTTGAATACATTATGCGGGCTCAATAATGGCAGCGGTTTAGTTTACTGCCTTACTAGACACACTAACCAGGACCACTTGAATAAAACTGACCAATCAGATAACAGTAAACTAGACAGAGATAATAACAGTGTTAGCCAATTAGATTACTACATTCTCACGCTCTTAGGGATCAAGGCAAAATAATTGTCATCTCACGGTACCCGATTTAAGGGGGAGGGATGGTGTTACCCGGTACCCACCACCTCTGGAAGTGAAATCTTATATTTTGTCTCCAAATATCTCCAAAACTAAAAGCCAAATCACAGAAATGAATGGACTGTCTGTTTGCATGTATGCTAAAAAAACATATTTGTGTATAGAAATTCCTACTACAACCCTCATTATCGAGCATTTGAACAGATGTCCGAGGGGGGAGGGGGTATGTACCGGTACCCACCGCTTAATTCATAAAATCGGGTCCCTATTTTGGACCATTGTTTTGACCTCCCCTTATTATATCGATGTGCTATCTGATTGGCTGGTTAAAAATATCGAACTAAATGTTGCAACATGAAGTGTTAATCATACTAGTTTATTGAATAGAACGGTCTGAACCCAGGTGAATGAATGTTAATAGAAGTATTATGATCATCCGGGTGGATGTAGGCCTGAGAAGGACTGCTTGATGTGACTGACGTTTCGACAACCTGCTGAGCGGAAGTCATCTTCAGAGTCAGTGAAGAATAAAGTCAAATTGGTCATATTTATACTGTCACGATAACTATAGCGTAATTACGTAATTGGCGGCATCGGTCTAATGAGTGCGAGTCGCTGTTTCGGCGTTGTGGACGGTTATTGTTTCTAATGAGCCTATTATACGGAGCCGGTAAGTTAATTGAGCGGTTAAGTGGATGTAGTGAAGAATATACACGATTAAGCCGTGAAAGTAGGCTTTATTCAAGTAAACCATGTGCTTACACAAACATGGCCGTCGTTACAAAACGTGAGATTCCGCTGACCTAAGGCAGGCACTTACACAGGTAACCCAACAACTAGTAATTACTAAAGAGTGTTTTTGTTAATG